TTTAAAAAATTTTTTTATGTGTATGAGTGTATTGTAGATGCACTTGTGTTGTGCAATGCCTGAAGTCAGAAGAGGGCATCAGATCCCCTGGAACTGGAGTTAAGGACAGTTGTTAGCCTCCATGTGGGTGCTGGGATTTGAAATGGGTCCTCTGCAAGAGCAGCCAGTACTCTTAACCATTGAGCCATCTCTCCAGCCCCTACCCTGATTGTTTTAAACTAGTCAATTAGGAAAGACTGTGATGTAGGACCCCAGCCAATGAGGAAAAGACACAGTCCTCTTGCATTGGGATAAAAGTCCACAAAGCTTCCAGGTCCTGTGTGTACTTATTGGATCTGACTGACCATGCAAGAAACCCTTTTGCAAAAGTAAAATCTGCTGCAAATCTGAGTTACTTTGGTTTTGTCTACATGCTCTTTGTGCAGTATTGCTGGGGTCCTTGGACCTGGGATTTTATTTCTAACCTGTAGCCACAGCTGACCTGGTTCAGCCTCCTGAGTATAAACCAGGCTGGTGTCCATCTGCCTCCCAAGTGTTGGGATTGAAGGTGTGCACCACCACACCCAGCTCTCTTGTCAGTTTCTTATGTCACATTTGAATACCTGTGGTACCTATAATTGATAATTCCCATGTACACATTTAAAAGACTGTCTTCTTTTTTTTAAGGCAGGGATTTTGTAGCCCTGCTTGGCCTGCAACTTGCTATGTAGACCAGGCTGGCCTCAATCTTGCAGGGATTCTCCTGCCTTAACCTCCTGAGTCGCTGAGTTTACAGGCATTTACCCAGTGGTCTTTCAGGTAGTATTTGCCTGAACTAGATAGCTTATATTCCAAATAAGGAAACCAGTGAGAGCTAACCCCCAACCAGTGTGTACTTATTGTCTGCCCTTGGCCTCTTTTCCAAGCCCAAGCCATGCATGAGTTCTCAAGAATGTTACAATTGAGGATCATTTAAGCCTAATAACATTATCAACTCTAGAAAGGCAGGCACATCGTTCTTAGATGAGGATTTGGTAACAGTAAAATCCATGAAGCAGGTTGGGGTGAGTGGAAGACAAGGGAGAGTAGGGGCAAGAGTAATAAGAATTCGTTATAAGGGCTGGAGAGATGGCTTAGCAGTTAAGAGAACTGGCTCTTCTTGCAGACCTGGGATTGAATTCCAGCACCCACATGGCAGCTAACCATCCATAACTCCAGTTCTAGGGAATTTGAAGCATTCTTCTGGACTCAGAGGGCATTGCATGACATGGGTGCACTTATATACATGCAGGCAAAACACTCATACACATAAATCAAAACAATGTTTAAAATAATGCATTATATACATGTATGAAAATGTCAAATAACAAAATTAAATTTTTAAAACTCCTTATCAGGCTCAAGAGATGGCTCAAGAGTTAAGGGTACTGACTACTCTTATTGTGTGTGTGTGTGTGTCTTTTTGAGACAGGGTCTCCCTGTAGGCCCACCTGGCCTGGAACTCACTTTGTAGACCAGGCTGGCCTTGAACTTGCAGAGATTCCCCTGCCTCTGCCTTCTCAGTGCTTGGAACTAAAGGTGTGTGCCACCAATACACACTGTGGAAATGGGCAGCAGACCCCAATCTTAACTGAAGAACTATTGGACAGATTACTGCTGGGCAAGGAAGAACTGATCTTCTTTAAGGGGAGTTAGATAAGCTGACTAGGCTCCAATGGATAAACTTGCACTAAGGGACATTAGGAGACACTAACTTGAATCTATAGCCTTAACATATATGACAGAATGTAAGAAATCCAATGGGGGTGGGGGCTATGGGATGATGCAGATGGGGAAGGGGTTATAAAGAAGACTAAGATGTTGTGTATGAAATACAAAAAAATTCAATTAAAAACATATTTTTAAAAACCCAACCATCCAACCAACCAACCAACCAAAACTATGAATAACTGCCATTAGGTGCACAGTCTTTTTTGTTTTTTAAATATTTTTTGGTCTTTTTGAGACAGGGTCTACCTATAGCCCCAGCAAGCCTGGAACTCACTATGTAGACAGGAGTGCCAGGATTAAAGGTATGCACCACCACACCCGATTGTTTTTAAATTAAAATTTCCACCTGCCTCTGCCTCCAGAGTGCTGGGATTAAAGGCGTGGGCCACCATGCCCAGCTATTTTTAATTGTATGAGCATATTGCATGTGTGTAAGTGCACTCATGTCATGCCACACCCAAAGAGATCTGAAGGTGTCAGATCCCCAGGAACTGGCATTATGGACCATTGTTAGCCACCATGTGGTTGCCAGGAATCGAACCTGGATCCTCTGCAAGAGCAGTCAGTGCTCTTAACTACTGAGCCGTCTCTCCAGCCTCCTTTGCTTTTTGAGACAGTCTCATGTAGCCCAGGAATTCACTATGCAGCCAAGGGTGACTTTGGGCTTCTCATCCTCCTGAGCCTCCTGCCTCTACCTCAGAGTGCTGGGAGTATAGGTATGCTCTACCACCCTGTTTTATGCAGTGCTAGGGACCAAACCCAGAGCTTTGTGAATTCCAGGTAAGCACTCAACTGATTTACATTCCCAGCTTCTTTCTCCCTTTTGAGACAGTTTCATGTAGCCTTGGATATGCAGCCAAGGATGACCTTCAACTCCTGATCATTTTGTCTCTACTTCCCAAGCACTGGAATTACAAGTGTGTGCCACCCTACCTCATACTAGCTCAGACTAGCCTAGAACTTATTATATAGTCCAGGCTGGCATCAAACTCTAGGCAATTCTAGACTCTCAAGTACTGGAATTACAGGTGTGAGCTACCATGTGTAGCAGCTATGTGGTTTTGTTAAACCATTCCTCCACTTCTTTCAATAGGATTGCTGTGAAAATTAGTTTATATATGTAATGAGTTTAGAAAGTTTATATGCAGCTTTAACTGAAAAGTGTTAGTTATTATTCGTCCTGAAGAAAATATGAATTAAATTACATGGTTCCAATACAGTGGGGAGAATATAAAAACTGCTATGGGATATCTGGGGATGTAGCTCAGTGGTAGACCATCTGCTTAGCATTCACAAAATTCGGTACTCAGCACCCTCCCCCATGTTAAGAAATTGTATGAGAAAATATTGCCTTTTAGGCAAATACCATTTTTTATGAAGTAGATAATTAAGCTCTAATATTTTTCTTTATAATAAGAATGTCCAGCTGGGCGTGGTGGCGCATGCTTTTAATCCCAGCACTTGGGAGGCAGAGGCAGGCGGATCTCTGTGAGTTCGAGGCCAGCCTGGTCTACATAGCAAGTTCCAGGTCAGCTGGGGCTATAGCTAGACCCTGTCTCAAAAAGACCAGAAAAAAAAAAAAAAGAATGTCCATTTAAGATCACAAAATGTGGCCAGGCATGGTGATGCACACCTTTAATTCCAGCACTTCAAAAGCAGAGACAGGAGGATCTCTGTGAGTTCAAAGCCAGTCTGGTCTACATAGCAAGTTTCAGGCCAGCCAGGGTTAGATGGTGAGACCCTGTCCTTAAAAAAAAAAAATTACTGATATGTGAACATATAGACACTAATTTCTTACTAGGTCAGGGTTTGGTTCTATCTTTCTGGGGAGATTTAACAGGAAATCACCCACTAAGGAAAGTGATGAGTCCAGGATCCTTCCTCACAGTTAAGATAGATGTTTTGAGTAGATTCTTCCTCAGGCTATTAGGAACTCCTGTTTGGTCAGGGAACCTGTATAAGTGGAACAGAGAAACAACATCTTCTCCATCCTCCCTTCCCACTGCCTTGCAAGCCGAGTTCATTCTGACAGACAAGCTGTAGCTGGAAGTGGAGGCTGCAGGCTCCAGCTGGCTGTCTTGAATACAGCAGTGCCCTCTGCTGAAGCATGCTGGCAACACTCTAGGGCAAGAGCTCCTGGAAACACCACAGAAAATCAGTTGAGCCTCAGGTATGGACTGTCCTATGGCTACAACCCTACTTCCTGTCCACTCACTTTAAGATTATCCTGCTCCAGACCTTGGAAGATTTTTTTGTCTCTATTCCATTCTGCGCTTCAGAGTGCTTCCTCCTTTCCTAGTTCTGGGTTATCACTAAGTACTACAGGGTTGGTTTGGTGTTTTTAGTCAATCCCACTGCCACCTGGCCAGGGCTGTGTATCTCACCACACAGATAAAAGCTCTAGCAAAGTCTGGGATGTTGCTGCTACATGCAGTGTAAAAGGCCTTCCCTTCAATCCAACTGACCTTTCCTTATACTTGCATTTCCTTTAATTCTTATCTCCATATATCACAGATCGTTATTTCCAAGTAACCTAAATCCTACACTTTATCCTTGAGATGTAAAATGGAATGGAGGAGCCAGGTGTGTTAGTACATACCCTTAGTTCCAATACCAAGGAAGCAGAAGCAGGCAGATCTCGGTAAGATTGAGGCCAGCCTGGTCTACAAGGAAATTATGAAACCAACTCAGATCTATCATCTGCCTTAGAGAACCCTAATCACCTTGGCATTCCCAAGCCTAGGGAATCATTTCAGGCAATTCATACCAAGGAATAGTATAAGAAAGGAACTTTTGGAATACTGCTGAAGTAGTTGTTTTAAACTTTGTTTTGTGCTGGTGAGATGGCTCAGTATATAAAGGCACTGACTCCAAGCCTGGTGCCTTGAGTTCAATCCCTAGAAGATAGACGGTGGAAGAACTGACTCCTGCCAGTTATCCTCTGACCACCACATACACACATCAGGGCACGTGCTCTCACACAAACTCACACACACATAATGTAAAAAAATTTTAATTAAAAAATTTCTAGCCTGCTGGGTGTAGTGTGGTGCATACCTTTAATCCTAGCACTGGGGAGGCAGAGGCAGGCAGATCTCTGTGAGTTTGAGGCCAGCCTGGTCTACATAGTAAGTTCTAGCTGGGGCTATAGGGAGACCCTGTCTCAAAAAGACCAAAAAAAAAAATTAAGAAATTTAAAATTTTTTAATTTTGGCCAGGCATGGTGACAACACGCCTTTAATACTAGCACTCAGGAGGCAGAGGCAGGCAGATCTCTGTGAGAGCAAGGCCAGCCTGGTTCACATAGTGACTTCCAGAAGGGCTGGGACTAGGGAGACTCTGTCAAAAAAAAGTTTCCCATAATTCTAGATCAATAGTTCTTAAGCCTCAGCATGCATCAAAATCATTGAAAAAAAGGAAATTTGTTTGTTTCAGACAGGGTCTGATGTAGCTCAGGTTGGCCTTGAACTTCCTATGTGGATGAGGATGTTTTCTGTTTGTGGTCTCCCTGTAGCCTCAGCTAGCCTGGAATTATCTATATAGACCGGGCTGGCCTTGATCTCACAGACATTCACGTGCCTCTGCCTCCCAAGGACTAAAAGCATGGACCACCACAGCCACCTGCAAGACATTTTTTAACAATCATAGGTTTAATCAATAGAAGATGGCCTCTTTCTATGTAGGATCTCTCTAATATCTTTTGTGATTCCTTCACTGACAGTAGCTCATCCACTATCATGGGCTCACATCCTTCACCAGGAGGGCAATCTGCTCCTGAAGCTGCCATTCCTCTTCCTGAGCTTTGCTCTGGTTTCGACATCTCAGCAGCTCAGCCTGGTGGTCCTGGTGATGCATAGGGCAGTAGCTCTGTGGTTCACAAAGCTTCTGAAAGGTAGGGACAAAGTAAGGGATTCTTTAGACTCCTGAGCACTGTCTAAGTACAATAGATACGCTGCTTGCTGTGACTAAGGAGCAACAGTTTCTTCCCAGAAAACTTCACAGTCCCTGGAGGGCAGATGCTAAAGCTGGCTTCTGAGTATGAGCTCCCCCAGTGTCTGAGCTCCCCTATGCCCCTTTACCATATATTCTGGAAAGAAGTCTCTGTAGCCCCCTTTGAGGATGTACAGCTCTGGGTAGTGTAATGCTGGATACTTGTTCAGAGCCCTGTCTTCTTCTCTCAGAAAACGGTACCTTTGGAGAAAATTCAGACATGGAGATGGATTGGGGTGGAAAGAAGGATCTCACGGGCCTTCAATGGAGAGGGGGGGGCAGATGAACAGACTACTACTAGCCCACAAAAGACACTTCAGGTTCTTAGAATGTAACTTAGTGGTAGAGCTCTAGGTTCAATCCCCAGCTACCCCCCTAGACACACAAAAACACCCCCAACACCTCTTCTCCTATTTTTTTGTTTTGGTTTGTTTTTTTTTGGTCTTTTTTGAAACAGGGTCTCCCTGTAGCCACAGCTGGCCTGGATTCACTATGGAGACCAGGCTGGCCTCGAACTCACTGAAATCCACCTGCCTCTGCTTGGATTAAAGGCGTGCACCACCACCATTCCCAGTTTTATGCAGTGCTGGGGGTCAAATCCAAGGCCTCATGTATGCCAGGCAAGCACTCTACAAACTGAGTTACACCCCAGTCCCCAGTGTTCCTTCTTTTAGTGTTTCAGACTTTTGAATTGTAGGAACGAACACCTTCCTTCAATCTCCCCAGCACGCTTCAAATTGCAGTGGAAAGCATTCATTCAAGTTAGTCTCTATCCAAACTAGTCTGGAAGTCTCACCCAAGATCCATTTCCACCAGTTTTGGCCCATGTAGACACTCACATTCGGGGACCTCTCTCTGAGGAGAATTCACAGTGGAAGATGATGATTATTCTTTTCTGGAAGTCCAGAGGGACAACAGGCTTCTTCAGAAAGAAGTCATACAGTTCTTTCTGACAATACAAGTTTAAGGCTCCCTGTGGAAGAGAATTTTAATAAATATTCCCTTGAGAGCCAAGGGAATGACTGGGATACTATTCTGGGATATAAAGGCTGGAAAAACTAGACAATACAGAATTCCAGGGCAGTGACCTATGCCTATCTCTGTCTACCTTAGGGCTTGGCCTAGAGCTTGGTATGTAGATGCTCAATAAATGTTCATAGAACTGAACTGCTCAGAGTAAAATCCTATTATGAGACTGTTCATGAACATTAAAAATGTTTGCAAAGTGCTTCTCAGTGTTTGGATTATTTTGACTTCCAGGCTCCTATAGAAAAAAGGAAAATTGGTTGGGGAGATGAAAGTTGCTCAGTGTACACAGAATCAAAACTGGAAAAAGGACTTTTTCTTTGATGTGCTCCAAATGTATCACCTCTGTCCTGGTTCCAGATTTCACAGGAGCCTTTGCTCACAGAATCTTCTTGATAAAGTCAAATCTCTTGGGAGGCAGAGGCAGGCAGATCTCTATGATCTCTCCAGGCCAGCCTGGTCTACATAGTAAGTTCCATGCCAGCCAGGGCTACATAGTGAGACCCTGACTCCAAAAATAAATAAAGAAATAAATAAATAAAGCCAAATCTCCAGCCCCTCCCCTGCTAATATTCATAATGCAACCTCACCTGGATGTGTCCTCCCAGATACTCATATGGGTAGCGGCAGTCAATGATGTAAAACTTCTCAATCAGACCCTGGTACTTTCCAGACAGTAAAGCAGCTACCTGCACAGAAAGAATAACTGAATGTCCTGTGTCTTGTCACTGAAAGGAGCTATTGTTTCCCCATACATATCCCATAGTCACCCAGCATTGCATTTTATGTACAGTCTCCAAATTTAGCCTGTATTTAAAATATGGCAATGATTAAAAACAACCCCGAAAATGAGAATGAAATGAAGTGGCCTGTGAAGGAACCAAAATGGCTGGTATTGAAGTTATTGACAGGGGCAGACATGGCTGGAGTCAGCCTCTCAGGAGACATTCAAGGACTGAGGCCGTAGCAGAGATAGCAGCCAGGGATCCCAATTTTATGGGATGGGAAATAGTTCCCCATTCACCATTATTAAAAAAGAAAGGCTTGGGGGTTGGATCTATATCCAGTAAGAAAATTTAGTTACCATAAGTTACATATTTCAGTGCAACAGATTATGTAACCCTGGCTGGCCGTGAACTCACAGAGATCCACCTGCCCCTGCCTCTGAGCTCTGGGGTTAAAGGCATGTGCCACCATGCCCAGATTATCGTTTTATTGATAGAAAAAGATGGTTACAATTCTTAACAATTGAAACATTATGTTTATCATGACCGAATTTTTATAAAATACATATCAAATACAATCTGAAAGATAAGGAAAATATCACTAATGAATCTTTGATGGCAAGATTATGGGTAGGATGACCCATAATTATTAAGTAAGATAATTTTTGAGACTTTTGAGAGTAAAAGAAAACAAAGTACTCTCACTAATAGGTGTAAAACAGAGGGAGGGGTTGCTGGGCATGGTGGCAGGTGGATCTCTGTGAGTTCAAGGCCAGCCTGGTCTACATAGTGAGTTCCAGGACAGCTGGAGCTACAGGGAGACCCTGTCTCGAAAAGACCAAAAAAAAAAAAAGAAAAAAAATAAACAGAGGGAGGGGCTAGGGTACCTCAGTTGGCAGACTGTATACACAAAGCCTGGCTCCATCCGGACATTGCAGGTACCAAGTACACGTCTGTAAACCTAGCTAGCACTCAGGAGGTGGAGGCAGGAGGATCCGGTTCATGGTCAAGGTCATCAGTCATTCTCAAATAGGTGGGGACTCTAAGGCCAGCCTGGGACAGAACATGTAAACTAGAACTCATGGTTACTTTGATGCCTATTGATTTTTTTCTTTTTTCCCTTCATTGCCTCCCTCCCTCCCTCCTTTCTCTGTAATTACATCATTTAAACTAAAAAAAAAAAAAAAAGATAGAAAATGAATAAAAAGAAGTCCTTTAATATCACTTCAGTTGAATAAGGAGCCCATGTGAGTGAACACTGAAAGAGATACAAATTGAAGTGGGGATTTTAGGGACATTACAGGGCCAGATGGCTGCTTATGTAACCAGTTGCCATCTCAAGAAATTTGCTTACTGTTTCTGGGTTGATGTACTTCAGATCTTGGTGCCTCCCTGACACGGTTGGCAGCACACACACCTAGAAATATTCAAGAGCTGAAATAACAGCAAGTACTCCAGACCCAACCTTCAGATCAAAGACCCCCATATCAGTCTTTCCAAATGACTCTTAGAGATACATAAATGATTCTTAGAGATATATAAAACAACAATGTTCTCTATAATGTGCATATGCAGTAATTCTGTTTCCAAGAACTAATCCTAAGAAAATAATCAAGCATATAACAGTTTTACATTTATCTACAAATATGTCCATCTCACTCATAAGGGAAAAAATTCTAAAACTAAATATCCCACAAAAGGGAATTTTAAAAAAATATTTTATTTATTATTTTTTATTTTATGTGAATGAATGTATTGCCTGTATGTGTATAAGTGCACCCATGTACAATGCCCCTAGGGGTCAGAAGGCAGTGTTGGATTCCCTGTAACTAGAGTTAAGGATGGTTCATAGCCTCTATGTGGGTGCTGGGAATAGAACCCGGGTCCTCTTTAAGAGCAGTCAGTGCTCTTAACCACTGAGCCATCTCTCCAGCCCCCCCAAAAGGGAATTTATGAAGTAATTATGAGTAGCCAAAAAATTAAATAATGGGCCGGACATGGTGGCACACACCTTTAATCCTAGCACTTGGGAGGCAGAGGCAGGTGGATCTCTGTGAGTTAAAGGCCAGCCTGGTCTACATAGTGAGTTCCAGGCCAGCTGGGGCTACAGGGAGACCCTGTCTCAAAAACACCAAAAATAAATAAATAAATAAATAAATAAGAAGGGAGGGAGAAAAGAAAAAGAAAGTGAGCCATTGAAACAATGAAATGCAGGGGCTGGAGAGATGGGTCAGTGGTTAAGAACACTGACTGTTCTTGCAGAAGACTCGGGTTCAAATCCCAGCACCTACATGGCAGCTAACAACTGTCCGTAACTCCAGTTCCAGGGGATCCGACAGCCTCTTCTGTCCTCCTAGGGCATTGCATAACACGGGTGCACTCACCTACATGCAGGCAATACACGCATACACATAAATAAAAATAATAAATAAAATATTAAAAAAAATGAAATACGCCAGGCATAGTGGTGCCTGCCCCTAATCTCAGCACTTGGGAGGCAGAGGCAGGGGGAGCTCTGTGAGTTCCAGGACATATGGGGCTATAGGGAGACCCTGTCTCAAAAAGACCAATAATAATAATAATAATAAAGTATTTTTTAAATTATTATCATTGTCTGTATGTGTGTGAGACTGTGGGTGTGCACATGCCACTATGCATATATGTGGACATCAAAGAACAACTTGCAAGAATTGGTTCTCTCCTTCCACCATAGGTTCTAGGGTCATCAAGTTTGTGTAGCAAGAGTTTTTAACCTGCTGAGCCATCTTACCTTAAAAGTCTCAAGAAGAAGCCAGGCGTGGTGGTGCATGCCTGTAGTCCCAGCACTTGGGAGGCAGAGGCAGGCAGATCTCTGTGAGTTCAAGGCCAGCCTGGTCTACATAATGAGTTCCAGGACAGCTGGGGCTACAGGGAGACCCTGCTTCAAAAAGACAAAAAAAAAAGTCTCAAGACGACCAAAAAAATTAAATAAATAAATAAATATAAATTTTCTTTAAAAAGATTTATTTTTATTTTATGTACATTAATGTTTGCCTGTATGTATGTATGTGTACCACATGTATGTCTGGTATCCACAAGCACCAGAATGGGGTGTTAAGATTCCCTGGAAATAGAGTTACAGATGGTTGTGAACCAATATGTGGGTGCTGGGAACCAAACCCAGGGCCTCTGCATGAGCAGCAAGTGCTCTTAACTGCTAAGTAATCTCTCCAGCACTTAAAAGATATTTATAACAACAAGAAAGGTTATAAAATTGCACACACATCCAGTGTTCTGGATTTTCCTAAACAAATAAACAAGAAATACTTTTTTTTTTTTGATACAGGGTCTCCCTGTAGTCACAGCTGGCCTTGAACTCACAGAGATCTGCCTGCCTCTGCATCCTAAGAGCTGGAGACCTGTGCCACCATGCCTGGCTATAAGAATTCTTTTTTTTTTTTTTTTTTTTTTTTTGGTGTTTTTGATATAGGGTCTCCCTGTAAGCCCAGCTGGCCTGGAACTCACTATGTAGACCAGGCTGACCTTGAACTCAGAGATCCACCTGCCTCCCAACTGCTGGGATTAAAGGCATGGGCCACCACACCCAGCTAAGAAATACTTTCTTATTAGATAGGCTTAGGGCTTAGATCTACCTTCAGGTCAACAAAGTGTTCAGTGAGGACATGTAGTTACATCTAGAATCCTCTGCAAACAGAGAAGAAAAGATTCAAATCCAAAATGATTCATTACAATATAATATAAGAAGCCTACTGTGTGTAAAGCCTGGGATCAATCTCCAGTACTGGGGAAAAAAATTCACAAACACAGACACACATACATTAAAGATAGGCAGGGTCTAACCAAACTTACCCTGGAGAAATTACCAATCAGATGCCCCTGGTAAGAATCTTCCTCTTCCATCTGAGTGACATTAATGTCACATAGAGAGACTATTGTTTTTAGACTTGAGCACTGAAATGACAAAACTCTCACTTACCCTCAAATCTCACATTAAAGATTTAAAATCCAAGGCTGGCTATACAGTTCAGTGGGTAAAGAGGCTTGCCACACAAGCCCTGGAGAAATGAATTTAATTCCCAGGACCCAAATAAAGGTGGAAGGAGAGAACCAGCTCTACAAAGTTGTTTTCTGCCCTCCATATGCAATGAATGACATGTGGGCACCTATACTTAGAAACACACACACACACCACCACCACCACCACCCAAAATAAATAAATGAAAAACAAGGTGTAATGGCACATGTTTTTAATTCCAGCACTCAGGAAGAAGAGGATCTCTGCGAGTTTGAGGAGAGTCTGGTCTACATAGCAAGTTCCAGGCCAGCAAGGGCTACATTGTGAGACCCTGTCTCAAAAAAGAAAATAAAAGAAAAACTGGAGAAACTGGGACCTTTGTGCATCGCTAGTGAAAAAAAAAGAAAAATCAACATATGTTCTCTCCCTCATATGTGGATCCTAGAACCAGACCCTGATAAGTGAGTATGTATGCAGATATAACTACATGAACCAGGATAATGGAAAGGAAACAGGGAGGTAAAGAGAAAGAAAGAACCTGAGAGGCCTTAATAAGGGAGGTATGGCTAAAAATTGGGTTAGTTTAAGGGAGGGGGAGGGAAGGGGATACAAGGAACCTAGGGGATAAAGGGAAAGAAGGAGCTCAAGAGAGGTAGGACCATAGGACAAGGGTATTATTAAGGGAGAAAGGGGGGAAATGGGAGCACCTTAAATGGGGAAACCATGATGGAGGAGTGAGACAATATGAGAGATAAATAATGCCTAGCTACAATGCGAGAGATAAACAATGCCTAGCTAGTTTTGAAAACCAGAAGGAACGATATTATTCCAACAACCTACTGATTGTAGGACCCCCAGGATGGGGTACCCAACGTCCACGGGAGGCCGCACCCCAATAATTCAGTCCTCAGACCAGGAGACGCAACAAGCAAGAGGATTTAATTGTTTGCGCAGACGGGCTCCTGCCTCACTCAGAGAGAGAGAACAGCAGCCCCGAGCTCAGCTTACAGGTGACTTTTAAAGGCAAAAACCACAAACCACAACCGGCAGCAGTGGGAGGGGGCCGGCAGCAACCGGCAGCAGTAGGAGGGGGGAAGTTTTGGGTGATGTCCGGCTTTGTGCACGGAGCATGAAAAGGTCAGCTTTGTCTCAGTAGTTAGGATTTTACATCTTACTTCCTTATACAGTTTCCCCGAATATTCTTCCTTTGGGGGGGATTTGGTTTGATTCCATCATTCCCCCCTTTTCTTATGGCAAGATTTTAATCATAAAATCTATGGATTTTCTGGAAGCATCATAGCAGCAAGGTCAGTGAGTACCAATGTGATGATGGCAACAAGGATGATCAAGGCCACAGAGATGAGGATGATAGCGACTAATTTCTAGTCGGAGTTGTCTAATTCCCAGTCGGAGTGGTTTATGTGTTTAGGACTTTGAGGGTTGTGGGCGTAGTCAGGAGAACCGTGTAGGGTCCTTTCCATCATGGTTCAAGAGTCTTGTTTTCAAGCTGGGGTTATCAAAAGAAGAGGGCAAGGGGGACAAAGTTACATTGAGAACAGGAGGTGGCCCTC